TCGAGTTGGTGGATTATTCCGATTCTTAAACGGACGACGGCGCGACGGGAGAATGTTATGACGATCGTCAATTCTTTATCGTCGTCGGTACATAGAAAAGATAACAAATTACCACCGAACAAGCGCGCTGGAAGTGGTTGGGGGGAGGGGGTTACTACGTTTAGCCGGGTGAGAACGCAGCCCTCGCCTGCCGAACAAGCGGCGGCGGCGGCGGCGGCGTCGTCGTCGTCGTCACCGCCAACGATGACGACGAAGCAGGGTGTGCGAGAAGAGGAACGGCCGGCGGCCGGTAATAGTGCCATTGATTTTTCCCGAATATAGCTGCTGATGTGCTGCTCTTGCTCTGTTGTTACCCGCCACTGCCACCAGACGGAAGCAACGGCGGGGGCGAACAAGTGGGCGAACGAGCGGTACGGACCCGGGTGGTGGTATATACGTGAGTAGGGGTGGCCGGCTATGTTCTTCTCCACACCGCAACACCGCGTCGTAATGAAACACACGACGTCGGACTTTACCGCGCGTGCGATGACGACCAGACGACGACAGCAATAATAATAATAATAATAACGACTACAAGCCGCCCTCAGTTTCTTTTCACAAACCCGCCGGCGGACGGCGTAACACGCGCTGTCCTTAGACAAGGCGGCAGCCGCTTAATGACTCGATGGTCGAAGTAATTTCCCACATTTATCCGCCGCCGGCAATTATTATTCCCGTCTATATTGTAATGTATATCAGACGACGAGACGACTTTTGTCGCAATTCGCTACAAACCACCAAAACGTCGATAATATTGCTGCTTGTATATACGCCATAACCCCCAAGACGGAGGTTTTTTGGGGGAGGGGGAGTAAATAACAACGATCGGTGTTATTATTTTCCTTTTATTAAGTATTTTATAAACGCCTCACACCGGAACGGTCAACTTCAACAGCCATCGAGAGTACGAGCACCAAAACACACTTATTTTTTTTTTATAACAAATTTTTCATTAGTGTTAAATAGGTTAACGTGTCAGATTCATAACAATTATTTATTTTTTTTTTTTTTATTATTATTTCTATAATAATATAATGGACATTTTTCTTTATCTCACTCCATTTATTAAAAACTATACCTATCCTCTGAATAAATATCGTGTAACGCTAATTCATCGTGTTATAACAACTGATCTCTTTTTGATTGACTTATTTATCGATACGCGAGTACTTTCACCACCTATTGATCCAGATGCTTTTTAAGAAACGTTTATTAAACGCCTCAAGTAATATAATAAATCTCCTCAAATATGACCGTTTTTTGAATGCATTACTTGATCGATTTAAAAAGAAAATATGAACCTACTTAAAGATAGATTTGCAACACAAGTAGATCAACATCAGAATTAATTATAACATGCTGTAATCATCCATGAATTATCATACGAACGAGACTAAAATTCATCATTAATTGATCCACGGTAATTAATAAAATATTTATACAGGTATAGTTGAATAGATTATACTTTAAATTGCGTTTAATAAACCACAAATTGTTGTATTATTAAATAAAGTAAATGTGGGTTAATTGTATTTAATTTACCTAAGTTCATGATACAAATACCTTCAGAAAAATGTATTATAAATATAAAGGTTCACATAGAGTGGAACGGTGGCTTTAAAATTCTTTTGTCTTGACGATGGCGGCAAGTTGTGTCCGGACTCATTTTAACGCTACCACTGCAGTGTCTACCTTAAGAAAGGTAATCACAATACCTCAAAAACATTAATTTCAATCAAATTTTTATAATTTAAGAAGGTTTTCAAATGGTCTTTTTATATTGGTAATTAGCAAATTTCAAAAAAAACCCAAAAAACACGTGGTTAATAAAATATATTAGCTGATGTAATTTTTGAATATAGTATAGTACATAAAATAATTATCAGTTCAGAAAAATCTAAAATTTAAATCACATGAATCAAATTATCATACGAACGAGACTTCATTCATCATACATTAATTCATTATTTTATGTATACGTTATGCTATAATGTAAATAAGTAAGGTTTTCAACTAAAGAATTAAAATTGTGTATACTCGGGTCTTAGTTATAGTATGTATTCCTATATGTAAATATACTTATTTCAGTAATTAAATTATAATTTAAATCAAAAATAAAATAATACAAACGAGACAATATTCTCGTTGATGAATGTTGAACCATTAAATTGTCCAAGGAAATACACCTAACAAATTATTATAGAGTCCCTGCCAAATCAAAATATATTAATTGTTTTAATATTCTGAACATATATCGTGACTATCAAATAAATGACTAGTCTTATGTTCTGCCAAATCTAAAATATTTAAGTTAATTTATAAATCATATTATGTAACAAGTTAGACACCTATTATGATATATAATTTATTCCATGAAAAATTGTATTATAATATATTGTATTTGTAGCTACACTCAACATACATAACACAATATAGAACATTGATACATGAATAAGTAACACAATCAGGCAAACCATGGCCCATGTTTTACTTCTAATGAAGTTGCCCTAATTAAAATCCACAGTGATCGGCACTCACAACCCTCCCGGTAGTCGCACCACTGTGAATAAATTAAGAATGAAATAATTAATAATCAATAATTTGTAAAACCAAATAAATACTTCCGATTTGTTAATTTATATTTAATAACAAAGTAAAAAAAAAAATATTGTAAATTAATTATTATTAATAAAATCCAATTTGATTCTTAAAAAAATTGTAACAACTTGTTACATTACAGAATTTCTATTAAGTCATTGACAATGTTGATAATGTACGGCAGGTTATTAAAGCGAACAATTAAACTATATAGTAACAATTTTTGGCATCACGAAGGCATATCATGGATTCTTGCCATAACTATAATTATATTTATGAATAATGTTTAGATACAAAAATAAAGTTTCGTGTTTGTTATACAGTTTAAACTGAACGGTTTTGAGTAAGAAAAATTCGATGTTTGGCTATAAAACGAATGAAATTATTTTCGTATTTTTAAACGATTATCAAACTTCAAAATTGTAGGGTGCATTTAATTTAAGAGCTCATTGGAAACAAAATCAATTAAAAAGCACTTAAATATTAACTTCTCTGCCTTTAACTAGGTACACAATATAATACCGTAGATCGTAGATGTAAAATAAAAAATAATTACTTTATTATTACACAAAATTAATTAGTTGTAGTTAGGAGATTAAGTAGTGACCTATTCGACATAATATGATGTTTAAAAGACCCACACTATTACAGGCACTTAGTTCTATTTATTACTGAAGTGTTATGTATAAATTGATGAGTACAGCGGAAATCGGAGATAGTTTTTGGGAAAAGTTTGCGTTCAAGCATTTAAGGGCCGACACTACTATCGGGGAACTTGTCAAATGTCGGCAGTGTCGGATTGAAGGGCGAAGGGTAAACGCAACGGCCGCATATTGGTTTCAAAGGGGTGTTTATTATTGCGAGGCCGTCAGATAGGGAGAGGGTAGAAGTAGCGTCGTTGTCGTCGTCCAGTCAAAAATCGCAAGTATTTTCGCCCTCTATCCCACCCTTTCAACCACCACAGTAACCCTGTCTATCCTATTCCGGGCACAACTGACCGAACAAATCAATATGAGTTTTGTTTTGGTTGTTTGTTGTGTGTTGTAATACTCATACACCACCTCTGCGGTAACCTACCGCCAACGCCATGGATGGACGGACACCACGCAACCACGACGACAATTCCCGCCCAAACGGAAAATCATTGTCGACAAAATCTGCTCTCCTCCTCCTTTAGAAAAACAAAGGTTTAATTAAATAGGACGACAGCCACCGTTTAACGGATGACGGTAATGCGCGCGAGACTTATAAGTTATAATACCAACTACACATAAGATAACACTGGAAGAATATGTGAGATTTATAATCTCTCTTATTACCGACTAACATAGTCAACTAACATAAACACTACATAAACATTAAAGAAATTAATAAGACAACCGCAAATTTGTATAATATACAATTAAATTAATTGTATTTATTAAAAAACCGATGTTGCATATCACATACTATAATAAACAACAATTGTATAACACACGCATTACACCATAGGAAATTATTAGATAATAATAATGGGCATTTTATAACGTAGGGCGGCTTATATTAATAATAATACGATTTATCTGCTACGTATGTGTAATAAGTAAACCACTAGGTACACATATACATGTAAAATACTTTTTTTTACAATAACTTCTTACAACAAACAATATTTTATAATAACTAAAAACCACTCAGTAACTAGAACAATGTATACAACACATATTAAATACCTATCATCTATATAGCCGTCAGAAAAGTAATATGATTCGATTAACAAAAACCTTTCTAAAATTACACTAAAAAAGGATATCACAGGCAATGTTAATATTATATTGCAGATTTTTTTAAAGATCAATTTTAGGTACAACAAAATAATTAACTATTACCACGTTCAATTTTTAGTTCACATACTAGAAATTGACGTACTTAAAAGGGGTGAGTGTGTATCTGTCTGCGGTAAGGAGAGAAAGAGTGACAAAAAGACAACGGTGAAAAAGAAAGAAACTGGAAAATACGACAGACTGTTTATTATTTAACCATGGTTGCCAAAGATACCCAGGCACATATCTATAAATTTAAAATGGCGAGGGGCTAAATTTTGTTCAGTAAATATAATACAGGGTGATTCTCCAAGAATGTTCGCTTCTTTTTGTCTTAAACAATGCTATTCAAAATTTGATTTTTAGAATTTTGAAATATTCTTAAGACCATATTTTCAAATTCAAGAGAGTTTTTGGTACTATTTAAGGAGTGTCTTGTGGTGATACTAGCTTCTATTTTTCAAATGTAAGCCCGCTTGTTTTACTATAAATTATTAGATGGATAATTTTCCTGAAAATATTGAAGTATTAAATTCAAAATTCGAAAGAGTAGTTGTTCACTTATCCATTAAAATATTTATATATTAAGTATAATAGTCCTTTAAAATGATATTACAAAAATATAAAGTACGTATATTTAGCATTGGATCTAGTACCTATTTGTTAATCTTGCACAAATTTTACAAATCAAGAACGTTGATAAATGATTAATTATTATTTATTAATTTTTATCACCAACAATTTCAAATCACCACAATCTCCGTACTTTCTTAGCCTACTATCCTTAGCACACAAAGATTAATATATTAATAAATAACTCAAAAACTACTCATTTAAATTTGATTCTAATACATCAACATGAACATTAACAAGATAAATAATATCTAGTAAAAAAAACTTCAAGAACTTGAAAATATTATCTTTAAGAAGAGTAATTATTCCAAACATAAGATTTTTAATAACTGCATTATCGAAGAAAAATGAGTTGAGGAATTTCGGTGTATCACCTTGTAAACACTATAGAATATAAATAGGATTTGATAACAATATTATTATTAACAATTGTATTTATATTATTTTAAATTGGCGGATATTATAAATATTACAAATTATATGTGTAATATAAAAGCCCCTACCCTCTGGATCAGCACCTGATGACGACGATAAGTTGTTTCGTTCTTAGACGTTAATATTTGTTGATCGTTTGCGTATACTCTCTCCATAGTAGCAGATAATATTTTATAGTAAAATATAAACCATTAGAGATTTATAGCGAAATCGAGATTAACTGAAGAAAACAATCCACACACATTAATTTGCCGCGTAATTTTCAGTTATATAATGAAGAAACAATAAGAATCACTAAGATACATCTTAAAAGGAAATAAAATATTAATCTGATATTATTATGTTTAACAATAATATACCGGCACGAAGTACTAACATATAAATATAGTATAATATCGGAATATCACAGTATAACGCCACGAAACGCGTGTACGTAGTAGGTACACACACATCCGCAATTCAAGTACGCCCACGATCAAGCATAATTAATAATGATAATTATTATCATTAAGCTATTATTATTTATAACTATTAACTGGAAATATAACTAACATAGACGTTATACTACTAGCATAAGGTCTATGAACTATAACGACACATTTTGTCGAGTGACATAATTGATAACATTATACAGATAATGATAAATTCACCTTAAAAAAATATACATGAGATATTTCAAATTTAAAACTTTAGGTGCGTCCCGCGTATACTCGATTGGCACATTAATAATAATGAAAAATAAAGGGAGAAAAACTAATATAATGCCAATTCGTTAATGATTTGCAGGTACTGTTAAATAAGTACCCAATTAGATCGTTTATTGTTTTAATTTCTGTACTATAAGTAAACAAAAATAAATATAATATATCCATATTACAACGTTTTGAATTCAAAATATTGTATTAAAAATGCGAAAAGTTAGTTTTTCCCGGTTTTGTACGTGTATTTTTCACAGAATATTTTTTAGACAGCCAATTAAAATGCAACAATTCAGAGTCTTAAGGTTTAAGTATATAAATTAAAACAAAATGAGTAGTCTACACGCCATAACGTTCAAGCTGGTATAATCTTCACCTAACTGGGTTCTAGTAAGTATTATAATACAAAATACAAAAACACAAAATAGAATTTTTGAGTGCCCAGGTTTGCTAGTTTACCTTAACGTAGAAAAGACAAGTTATAAAGTCATAAGCCAAGCGCACGCGTCGCGTATCAACGATATACCTGCTGCTCCGACCACTACTCGCGCCTGATTATCTTTATAATATTGTTATAATAAATAATAATGACGTACAGGTAACTAGTTTTTCCTTTGTTCAGCGATACGAATTGGGAATAGAGCGATTTTTTCTCTTTCTCTCTCGAAAGCCAATAGTCTTCTTCCCCTCCCTTTTTTCAACGACTGAATCGCCCCGGCAGAACCGTTATAATAAGACAATAACATTACGCACGGATATCGAATGTACGGCATAAAGTAAGGGGGAACGAGAGAGGGTGAGGAGAACTACAGCCAAACGTTGTTTGTCGATTTAACAGTATTGCCACTGTAGCGAACGACATTTTACTTCCGAGAGTTGTCTTAAACATTACGTACTACTGGCGAATATGCAGGTGTGTGTGAGGGGGGAGGTTCATGCTGAATGGACACGTTTTGAGCAAGACGACAACGTTCACACTATTGGACAAAATCAGTTTATTTTTTTTATGCCATGTATATTTTTTAACCGTCAAAATATACTTCAAACCTACGGACGTTATAAGTCACCTCAACAATATTAATCTACGATGTAACAATCTACAACTTTTATAACGATTTTATAAATTCCTTTTTAAAAATTAGCAACCGGTGCACTATCGTTAAATAAAACCACCAACATAAGAACTTAGGAGTAACGCTGGCAACGAGGCCGTGTCCAACGCGTTCAATATTCATACAGGCACACACAACCGGTTTATTTCTTTCTCATCTTCTCTGGTTTAGGGTCAAGAGGCGCGCCGAGACCTTTTCCACTCCTTATTATCGAACCACCCGATCACCGTGTTTAATTCCGATTTCTATCGTCATGTGTGTGCACTGTGCAGTCATATTGTGGAGTTATTTTACCATTGTGTTCACCATTCGGGCAGTTGAAATAAAACGAGGCCTGTTTTTTTGCGTGAAAAACGCGCACGCTTTCACCAGACAACGGTCGATTGTTGATAAAGGGGCAGGTTCTCAAATGTGAAAGTCAAATTTTGCAAACTGTCTTTAACTATCCTAACACATTCCTAATTTGTTTTACCCAACATTACAATAAAAAAAATGAATTAGTTATATCTTATACACGGACAAAACCCGTTTTAATGTTCTAATAAAATTATCATTGTTATTATTATGTACAATATACTTCTATCTCCATTATTCAATTTTAAGCGTCGTGACCTTGGGATGTATGTGTATTATACTTTTTAAAAAGAACCAGTAAACCAATGTCAGTAGACTATAACCATTATAATACATCCATAATTCAAAAACGAGGACAGAACTTGTATTTGATAAAATAATGCAAACATTTAATATGAACAAGTACTTTTAAAAAACAACCTGTTTGGTCACTATGATGCAATAAATCAATCAATGGGTCACATATTAAAGTCAAACTAAATAACAATTATTTATATATAAGTTCAAAATAATATCTATTTTTAACATCATTTAAAAAAATATTATTGACATTTTAGTGCATCAGAAGATTATTTCATGTGATCATAAAAGTTGGAAATAGAAAGTATCACTTAACTTGTATGCTACATATTTAACCTAGACAGTAAAGTTAGAACTTATAAGACAGCAACTAAACATGTCTTCATTTTACTAAATAGGATATTTAGAATTTTAGATGTACCATTTTTTTAACAAAATATATTAAGGTTCTAAAATAAAAATAATCAATATTTGGGACTACAGAACATTTTTTTTAAAAATTGACTTCTGTGTTTTATCACAATTGTTATCACTGCTATAGGTTTTTTTATAATAAATTAAAAACATTTGTAGCTTAGATAATTCAAAACTTTTAATTAACTTGAAACAAAGTAGATATTTAAAAAAAACTTATTCAGCTAAAAACAAAAAATCAACATTTTAAAATAAAAATTTCTTAATAAGGAACCATACTTAGGCATATAAAATTTAAGTCTTTTTAAAAATTACAATTAAATAATTAATTTAATAACAAACTTGTAGGAACAAAAAAAAAAATACAATATTAAACTGAAAAATTATCTTTTTATAATAAATAATATCTTCAAAATTCAAATAAGGAGTTACTTTTTATCACATTGATTTAAAAATATCAGTCCGTGTTACGTTATATCAGCCTTTATTATTTTATAGGTGCAATTCATCTGCAGATGCAGGCACATCGAACTCTGGCACTAGCCAAGGTTGATACGCATGATTAGAATCCATGGCCACACTTTCTTCCCCATTGTTGTACTGTACACAACCACACGGTGTACATGTTTGATGATCACAGTACAATGGTGAAAGCATTGGTTGAGCATGTAGTTCAGTTGAATTTGACAAAGTTTCAATAAAGTTTGGTGTAATGCAATTTTGATTAAAATTGGAGGGCTGTTCCAGTAGTATAATTTGCTCATTGAATGGATGAAAATTGTTTGATACAATTGGTGGAGGTGTATTTATATACCATGGATGCATCACATTCTCATTATTTGTCAAGTTTAGAGGTGTCATAGGCAGATCTGGATGCTGTTGATACTGATGGACATAAAAAGAGGGATGAAATATTGGCCCGGGGAAGATTCCATGAATGGGTCCATGAAAAAAGCCTGGATACTGAACTGGAGTTTCACATTGTTCAGGGCTAGGAAAAATAAATTGGTTACAGTCAGATACTTGATTAATTTGAGTAGGACTCTCCATCAATTCCCTCATATCTTGTTCAACTGGTATTAATTTCAGCTGATTGTATTCCACATATATTTTTTTAGCCAAATCTTTAACGTATACTTCAACTGGTTCATTTTTCCCCTGAATACGTTGAATATAACAATGATACCCCTTAGTGCCAACATAAACCATACATTTGCTGCCTTCTTTAAACTCCCAATTATTCCATCTGCCATAGAATTTTTCTTTTTTATTATTCAACCAAATATCATACTCTGTGTTTCTGTATAATTTAGGTGTCAAAGCTTTAGCCACTTTGAATGGGAATGGAGTAATACCATGTTCAAGAAGCTCTTTCATATCTGAACAAGTAGCTCTCTTTTCCAAACTAATCGGGTCACTTAATTTTGAAGCTGGTAAATTTCTGTCAAATAACATTTCTTTCACAGCAAATTCTACACCCGAAAGTTTAAAAACATTGTTGTATAGCATTTCATATACAATTGATTGGCAAAATGAAACATTTACAACAGACTCTTTCACAAGTACCAAATCGTAGGTTCCTTCATAATTGAGACATATATTTAAGGTTTTTATTGCATTTGGAGTTTCGATTTTTAGAGGTATAAAAGGATGAGAATCTACATAAAATGCAATACTTATTTTGTATATTTTAGCAGCAATACGCATATCCAACAATTCACCATCTATTTTTGTATCAGTAATTTTATTTGCATATTTATCAACAGATAACTGAGTCATTTGAGTAAATTCTTTGATTTGCAGTGAAGAAAACTGTAGAAGTTGTTGTCGTACAATCATATGGCAACTTTGTGTTAGAAACACACATTGCGATATACATCTGAATAAACTATTACCATCTTTAGGCACTACATGTCTCATTAATCCAACTGATTCTAACAATTCATCAATTTTTGGTATCTGGATCCTTTTAGATTTGCTTCTATTTCTTACGGATAATGTCAACATTTTGAAACCAAATCCTAAAAAAAATACACAAAAATTTAAAAAAAAACATTTAAAAAGTAATATTAAACGCACTAAAAATTAATCATAGTTTGTCTTCTGTCTATTAAATATATGACAATTTCATTTAATTGTGCGTTCAATATTATAAATGTTTTTTTTTATCTTTTTGTATATTTTTCTATAAAATATTATCCAGTTTCATAATACAAATTGTATTGACTTCAAACTATCCATTAAATTTTTAGTGCGTTATTATCATCTTAAATTTTAGTAAATTTTAGTAAGTATAAACACAAAGGTACAAACAATTACACTGATAACAATTAAACAAATAAAATTAATTAAATCTATGACGATATTTTTAGCCAAATTGATTTCCAAAGTGAGATAACAAATAATATTCCTACATGCCTATTGACTTTTATTTAGTTAACAGTTGGTATTGAGTTAGCAAATGTATAGAAAAAAAAATAGTTCGTTTCTACCAATGCATACCTAAATGTTTTATATCCACCTAATTATAATATTAATATGTATAAAGGAATTGCAGAACATACTTCTGACTTGTTCATTTACAAAAGATAAATTTTAAGATATTTATTAAATCACTTACAGTGAATAGTTCAAATTTTCAAGAGTAGGTACAAAATTCTTAAAACAAAATTGTTGGTAGGAAAATGTTATGTTATCATGTTACTACATATCTATGAAGATTAAATTCCTAACGTTATATACAAGTCAAGTATAATGAAATAACAGTAAAAGAACCAATTAATTATATTCAAATAATCATTCATTTCTATCTTAAATATATTATACCTAAATCCTATAATTAATTATTAAAAACCATGGACACATACATCGTATCCTATCTTAACAATAATTTAAACACCAATTTCAAAGATGAACAAGAAGGTCCCAAACAAAAAATTATACAAAATACATTGTTTAATATTTTCAATATGTATTAATCACCAATGCGTACTTTTTATATTTATCTACATGCAAATTAATTGTATAATAGTTGAAATTACTAATTACCTACAATTCTTAATTTCAAATTGTTGAAGTTTAAATGTCACAAAATAATAAAGTTTATGAACTAATGTAAATAAATATGAATTGGCACTCACTGTATGAAAAGATTAACAATAATTCATATTTATTCACATTTTAGTATAAGCATTTTTGTATGGAAGTAAAAAAGTAACTATCGATACCCAACGTAGTATAAAGATTTTTTGAATATTTTAATCAATCTTAAATACGCAAAATACGCATTTCCGAATTATTTCAAGTCACCCAAAGAATATTATACAAAAAGATTAATCTTTTGAAAAGGAAAAATTAAACCCCTCTACCCTAAAATTCAAACAAATCACCGTGCCCATAAAAGAAAACGATCACATGGGCGAGAAAATATGTTAACACGTTACGTGCGCACACACCGAAGGTAGATAAAGAATAAAAATCATGGCATAACAGGAGCGGGTATGTTTCTATTGATCGTTTATTAATAAATTAAAACTAAAACGTGACGTGTGCGACCGATGAAATGTCACGTCACGAAATTTAGTGGTTTACATAAGTGAACCGCGGTAGTTTGTACAACGAATAGGATGCTATCAGGGGTACACGTATCAAAAGTGTGCGAATATTTTTTGTAAGAGACACAACAAAGCGCTTGTTTGGCACTGTTCATTTTTGTGGCGGGAAACGAAAACATTGACGAGTAGGTACATACTGACCATTTGAGATAACTTACATTATATTTATTTTATTATAGATAATATACTGCGGAATCCAGTGTCGTGAACAACGAATCGTTGATTTTGTTTAAGATTATCCAAAAATAATCAAATTGTTATATTTTTTAATTTTTAGCCATTGTTGGTTGAAAAGAACATACATCAATTTATTGATATTTTTTTATGAACCCTATTTTCTAGTAATTTTATAATACGTCAGCGATACCTAGCACGATTAAAGCAGTTTTCAGCCCCTTCCCGCAATCATAATACCTGGATCAATAAACCGAATGCTCGTTAATATGCAACAATGTGACAAAAAAATAAAAATATTATATTATAGTATTTATGATCGACGACGACGGCAGCTGGTAAACACGATTAACTGTTTTAAGCGTAGGTATTAACCACTATCGATGGCAGCTGCTCCCCGCGTGCGCGTTTCGTTAACTCCCGGAGCATTGTCGAGCGACTGCCGGCTACCGACGCTGCTGCGACCAATCGCGAATAACCCGCGCGATGCACGCCGCCAAAACTGTCGTTTCGATGATATTACCGATTTGTCGTCGCCCACCACCACAGCTGCAGCCGTGAACTGAAACGACTGCGGTCTGCGATACTGCGATGTGATAGTCGCGCAATGCGACCGGCCGGCCTCGTTATGGCCGCCGATTGCCGAACGACGGTGTGCGCGTCGATTCTCGTGCGTGCGTGCGTGTGCGTTCGAGCGCGTGTGCATATAATATTATGCGTGTACCTATGTGTGCAGTACACGTAAGTAGTTGAGTGCGTGCAAGTATATATATATTATAATGTATGATATTATATTATTAATATATTTGTGTGCGAGCTCGCGCCGTAATATACTAAACAGGTTGGTTTTACTGACGACGACGACGACGACGCCGCCGTCACCGCTCAGGGCAATGAAATTGTTTTTAACTGCATGCCCACACGATCACGCCGATGCAACGATGACGGCGAAGAAGAAATCGAATCGATGTCATGATTTTGCTTCGCTAGCGTAAAGAAAAACGAATCCACATAAAAAAAACGAATTCGTCGAAACTGGAACACACGGGAGCATCCGTTTATTTCCAGATATAATTATTTATTTCGCGGTACCTACTTACACTCCTCTACAGAAAAATATTGCTGAAGTAATCGTTATTTTCAACACTGGCGGTGGACGGTTATATTTAGTTGTAATAACTGTTTTTCGAGAATAGTACATCATTTATTTTTACCTTTCCCTAGACCACCAAAAATTTCAAGGTCAGTTATAGAATATTACGATAAATATCCTGACATGAGGGAAAAATATGGTTTTGTGATGCAAATCGCCATTTTGTTCACAATATGGGTAACTAATTTTTAAAATATGCCGTTATATTAATATTGACAGATGTTACTTGAATAAAGGGGGACACGGGTCTACTGTATTGTATGATTTGGGGAAAACGCGGAACAATATTATTCGATTCAAATCGAAACTAACACAACCTACTATATTATACATAGAAATATCAATCAAATATTGTATTATCCAAGTGAAAGATATTCACCACCCGCCATACAAATACGAGTCCGCGTGGAGCGTTTACAACACATCAGACATGTATTGGTTCGCCAATAGGCAATAATAACTTCGGTGAAATAAAGCGATAAAGATAGGTTACAGAATTATCTCGAAATGACCATCAGAAGACTGTGTCCAATTATTATCGTTTGTAATAAAAAAAATAAAACTCGCGGTCAAAATGCGAAACGGCAATTACCTACCAACGACGGCGGCGAGTGTTACCGTAAACGCTTTTAATCCGCCAATGGTAAACACGTCTAATGAACCGGAGATAGAGAGGGCGGCACACAGATTGAGAGAGAAAGAGTCGTACGGAAAAAATCCGACCGATAGAATACTATTATTATACGTATTTCAGTACACCTACTCGGTGGAAGGTGTTGCGCATGCACGTTGCATATTACAATAATACGCGTGTATACATATTATAATATATTATACACAATAATGTAATCGTGAAAACCGTCGTGATTCGATTAAATGTGGCGGTCCGTAGGCGAGAATTCCACTCGGCGGCGGTCGGCGTTCCACGAGGAAGGAACGACTGGCGGGCGGCGTGCACGCGTGGTGTGTCCCGGTGTGAACGACGCCGCGCAGGCACACGCACACACACACGCGCGCACAGGTCTGTCGGTAACGCCGCGATCACGAAAGTGAATACCATACACTATTATACACTTCTACACTAGACAGGGGCGGCGGAGTGCGCGACCGCCGGTGAGAGGGCTGGTGGTTCGGCGGCGGTGCGTGCGTGTTTTCTGGGTACGATGTGGAAAGACGTGGGCCGCCGCCGCCGCCGAACGGATGACGGTTACGTCCAGCGAAACCCCGCCGACCCCTCCGCAACACCAGTCCGACAATCACGAAATCGAGTCGCGTCGTCGTGCCAGCCAGCCGTGCAGACCAGTTAAAACGCGCGCGCTCTTTTCGCATTGTCATCACCGTCGCCCTTCCATTTATGGTGCCTCAATTACCACCGCCGGCCGGCCGGCCGCCACCAATTGTGGTTATTACTTATTACTACCATACGGTTTGCCTTGACAACGACCACTTTTAACAGTCATTATCAAAATCTATGCGACAATCGCACATAATAATAATAATGATAATGTCACGCGGCAGCTAATATCATTATTGTGTTGTTGTTTAATACACGCGAGGGATGATTTCGTCGCATAATAATAATTAGAATTATCATTGGTTTCCGAGAAAACAATTTTATCAGTGATAAACGCCCGAGAGACGGCGGCAGTTTTATCGGATTTCGACAAACGCGGGTATATGCAAATACGCAATGACATCATAGAACATCGAGGATGGCATCACGACCAAAATAACATACATTGTTATTAATATTATTGCGATAACAATGTTGGAAAAAATGTAATATATATATAACTTATAGTTCAGCACAATAAACAATAGTAATTTAGTGTGTATACAACTATAAACGTTAAATGTTTCAGAGCAGTGTAATCGGTTTGAAGGAAACGCCGACGTAAGCAAATTTCCCTACTCCACACCCTTCGCAGTCAGCATTAAGGATAATCGCGAAACGTTGTCGGGACGACTAAGCTTTTTTTTTATTCATCAGCCGCGTGTACTTTTATGTAACAAATAACAATCTCCACTTTATCATGTGCATAAAAAAATGTGCAAACCTTCGTGAAAAAATACGTACAATAACAATTAATTATTATTGCTAAATCGGACTAGTGATGTTTGAACAGCGCTATCAGCGGTTTTCAATTGAGAACGGATTATTATTATGATTAAGACTAATTAATATTTACTAATAATGACGCGCAAGCGATATGATAGGAATCACTGGAAATGTTCACTAAGTCTTGCGTTTTTCGAGGGAAAAGTATGTGAATGAGACTCGAAAACACACGATTTTCAGCCACCGATTCTGTAACGTTATAATAATTTTAAGAAACGTTGAGGGGGAGGGGTGTTAAGAAAAATACCCACACCCTGATATTTAAAGGTAATAATACATAGAAACCTGCCACGTTCGTACGCCAAAGATCAAAGACGATCACGTTGACCCGCAAACGAACACATTCGAAATAACTCGTGGGCGGACAATTTGTAGGAAAACTGTGCTCCCAAAACCCACGACACCCCCCACAAGCCACATTATCACGTAACAACTAAATGATCATGTACTGGTGGTGGGGTTTCGGAAGCACATGTGGAACACGACGTTACTTACAACAGTTGCAGAAGGTCAAGTGATTAAGTTCTGGATTGACGCGGCGAGACTTATCACAAATTACGGGCATAAACATAAATACCATATCTTGGTAACGGAAGGTCAACTAATATTATGTGCATTGTACGAAAAATATAAACGGTACTCTGCACACCGCCGCGCGATCACATAAAAATCATAAAATATTTCAGATCGAACGTACCTGTCGCCGCCCCCCCTCCCACCCACAAAACCATCAACGATCGCACAAACACCTTATCGGCCGGGCCCCCTCCCGCCCGAAAACCATACCATTAACAATTGTTACATTAAAATACATGTACATAAATGCAAGGAAGATCGACGGGCAAATAAAATAACGTGGAATACGATCAAGCCGATACACGGCGCGGCAGCGGCGGTGGAGGTTAAAGCCGAGGCGATTTATATTTTTTTTGCCCGTTCTCGTTAAACCACACCGCGAGGCGGCGGCCGAAAATACACGGACCGGCTCGACACACACCGCACTCCACACTATCGCTACACAACTACTATCGCTAATCTACAACGTTACACCGTAGAAACGCGCAAAAGGTACGCCGCAAGCGGGCGCGTGTAACTACAATCAAAACAAACACCGAACGTAACAATAACGAATAACGATATTATGACATTGAGAACACGGCTTACCTTGTTCGTCGATCACGTCGCTGAAGCTGTTGTAACGGCGCGTTGTCGGCGACAATATTAGCTGTGCGAGCAGCGTCCGCGTTGTTGGCAGGCCGACGTCGACGATGATAACCACGCGCGCAAACACACGCACACACACACTCACACTCGATCAAACACACACACGCACGCCAAGCGACGGGAACGCGTCGTCGTCGTCGTCGTGCACTAAAATAATGCACCGGATTCACGTTGGCGCGCGACCGCAATATCGTATCGTCGTGGTGAAATGGCGCGCACAAACTCGTCCAAGCATCGGATCGCGGGATCCGGTCGGCGAACGATGATAATAACACGATAATAAAAATAACAAACAATAACGGATATTACCTTATTGTACGTGTATTAAATATTATCGTGTATTATTGCGCGCGTTGTGTGCGGCGGCGTCTTTTACCGGTACACAGGATAACTAAACGGCGTGCGTGGAAAATAAAAAAACGATCGAAATGTCGACGGGTGGCGAACGAACACGGACAGATCGTCGTACGCCGTACGCACTTGCGGAACAACAACGGTGGTCAGTCGTCGCGGTCGTAACGGATAGCAGTGTGGTGGTGTCGTCGGCGGCGGCGGCGTCGGCGGTCGGCGGCAGCGGCGGCTGCACAATCAGGTTATGTTGGCTAGACGGCGGCCGAAACTGTTGTGTGTGCGCGAGACAAACACAAACAGCCGCCGGAAAATGGCGGACAGTCATCGGTGAACACCGATGACCGCATTCGCGGACCCGGCGCGACCGTCGCGCTATCTGTTGTTGAACAGGATTTTTCCCGCTTTACACTAGTGCGTTCAAAAACCAAAAATATCGTTATTCATTATTATTATTGTCATTGTTTCTGCCGATAAAGACATTTGACGGACATTTTTTAATTGTTATTGATCTGTACGAACGTGGTATGTCTTCAATAATTAAAAAAATATTTTGTCCAGTCATTCCTTGGGTTTATGAGTGCATGTCATATAAACTCAAGAGTGAAAATATTATAGTTTAACAAAATGCTCATTGGCATTTACAGGAATTATTGACACTGTGGGTCAAGGTCAATTACATTTTTGGTAGCCAAGAGATTATACCTATTGAATACACAGACAGTATACTGTATAACATGTTTTAATTATTTAATTGAACCCAAAATTGTACTATGTCATAGACAGTACTCACTCATCATTCTTAAACATTGATTGATACACAACTACGAGACATGAGTACAATTCATAACCCATCCATACTAAAATTTTGCAAAAGTAATTTCCTAATTGTTACTTCTGTTGAACTAAAATCCTTATGACTAAATATCTATGTACAGAATTACCCATTAAAAGTTGTTGCATAGATTAATAATTATTGTATTGAAAAATATTTGTGGAACCAAACCAAATCAATGCTATTCATTGAGTTCTCATTGTACAAATGTATAAAAATACATTAAAGTCCTATTGAAAATATTGAACTATATTTACTTATTCCAATGATTAATCAAAATGTACTTCACACTACAGTTGCAAACTGTTCAAAGTAGTGATGATTTTGAAATGCATACCAAGCAATATGTTTAAATGATTGGCAATATCGGTATATTGTATCATAAAATGAATAAATAACAATATAGAATTGAAATATAATCATTCATAAAATATATAGTTTAACTGTGGCTAAAAATAATTATTAAATTATAGAGAACAAATTAAAACAACATTTTATTAAAAACATAATGTACATTTTTTTAAATATATATATTTATTTATAGAATATTAAATAGATTTACATTTGCTTAAAAATACTAAATAGATTTACATTTGCTTAAAAATAGTAAATATACCAAAATTATAACAACATTAAATTACATTTCATATTTAGTTTGAAATTTATATTTATTTATAAACACGAAAAATGACAAATTCATGAAAGTTATACCTGGTCAAGATATTCTGAAAAAAGTTGACTTTAATTGTATATTGATTAATGTTAAAAATTAAAATAATATTATTTTATTAAATAGTCAACAATTCAATTAGTGTTAATCTTGTAACAACTAACTTAATTTTGAAGTATAAAGAATTTATTATTATACATATAACATAGGTATATACGTTATAAGAAATTTGTCTTGAAGAAATTAGTTACTATGCAAGATAAGTCAATGTTTAATAATAATAAAAAAAAAGAAATAGCGAATGGCACATATTATACAACGCAAGTTAAAACCATAGGTTATTGTATTACATCACATAAACTTTTTCTGCTTGTTTTAACCAATACACTTCTTTGGTCTTGGGGCAAATTACTTGTCCATTGTTTTGGTTCGACATCTCTACCAAAGCCTATAAATGTATAAATGTATAATTATCACTATTTGTTGTAGAACTATATACTAATAAAGACCTGTTCTCCATAAACATATCCGTTTGGTAATACCATAGGTATATTATGTTCATTCAATGGAAGTCCAGATATTGAACAAAATAGTCGAGACTGACTACAATGTGCAAATGGTAATGGTTTTGCTAAAGTATTGAACCATTCTTGACAAACTGGGCAACTTATATTCCGAGCTTCTTTAATTTCACTGTAACACTGAGTATGTTAAGTTAAGAAAATTTATTTTATTTCTCATTAACAAAAATATTATTCAAACTCCTTATTTTTAAAATATATTTTTAAGTCTGTATTCCACTATATATTATAATTATTTTTAAAATGTAATAAACTTTTAGTTATTTTTTATAGTAACTACAATTTTTTTTAAATAATAATAATAAATATAAAATAATTTTTTTTAGAAAATTGTAATTATTAACATCACTTTATTAAGATATAAAAGTAAAACAATACTATAGAGAACAATCAAAGAAGTTATGCCTAACAAATACAGAATGGAATTTAAATCTAGAAACTGAAAGGATATGAAAATATAATAATTAAACGATTGTTATAAATGAAAAATTATAGGTTAAAAATGTAAAATTTAACTATTAAAAATAACATTCAGCATCAAGACAAAAAATTTTAATTAAATATTTGTAATGAGAGCATTAATGTTTTGTTTATAAACGTTAATGATGTAACACCAAATTTGCTGTCCCACTTATGAATAATATAAGACATTTTATGTTCAGAATGATCCATTTAATCCTGTTATTACTTATTTATTATATAAGAATTATTTTGAGTGAATTTATATTGTATTGACAAATTTAAAATTCGGAATATCATTTAGGGCAGATATGGCTGGAGGACTAAATTTTTGAACGGGCAATTGTACATTTATAATATTAGGTTTTAACTGTGAATGACATCCCTACCCCTTCATCTAAAAAATGTTCTTACAGCCTCCAAAAATACTTTATGATATTAATAGTAGGTATATTTGTAGTCATTAGATTGAATGTGTTATATTTGAATTTAATGATAAATCATATTATACGAAAAACGATTCTGAGCGAAGACACTGTGTCAGCCAAGCATACTTGTATATATAATGAAATTTAATAATTAAAAATAAAATTAATAAAAATGGACAATATCTTATGGCTATAAATGGTGTAACTTTTTTTTGAGGCCTCGTTTATTAAAATTTCTAATGTTAGCTATGGAAAGAAAAATTTCATTTCTAACTGCAAAATAATTAAAAACGTAACATGGATATAAATAGCTCAAAGTTTGAAAATTTTACCGTGTATGGAAAATGATAATATTTGGTGAAAATTGCATGTGTCTATTAAAAATTTTGGAATTGCAACAGAATATCAAAAATTGATTTGATGGGAATTTGTTGATACAGCACTTGTACAAATTTAAACTTCACAATCTTATATTATTTTACAAAAAAAATTTTCTCTTCCTCGTATCTTCCTAACATCTTAATTTTGAAAGAAAACTACCTTTTTAAAATAAAAGACACCGGAATTTGTGGTATGGGCAGCTGCCTACCCTGTCCATACGCTAGAACCACCACTGATTTAGGCTCTACATAAGTTTTTTTTATATTTGAATTTTGAAACAAGTTATTTTAAATTGAAACTTGGGATAATCTGAACAAAAATTTGGTATGGTATGTATTAGTAAAACGGAGACAACACATAAAAGTATGACTTCCTCATTACAAGTAAAAGTTAATTAGCATATTATTGTGGCATTGCTTAGTAAAAATCCTTATAGTAAAGTCAAACAATTAACTTTAAAGATTTTTATCATCAGTTAGATCACATCAATTAAAATTTGACAGTCAAAGGCATTTACAAAGAATATTATTATTATTATGATTGTATAGCCCTGGCCATCACTGATAATACTTACAAGTAATAACAGATGTTAAGACATTAGTTCAATGATTATTAAAATTCAAAGTTGCATTATAAAAGTGTAACTTAAATTAAAGTCAAAGTTTGAAAAAGGATATGGAGTTTTCAGAGCAGACAATCCAGCTTGTAATACAACAGTAAATACTGACTGTGAAGATAATTGATATAGATTGTAATTTTCTTGACGAAACTGTTCAATTAATCTTTGCCAACGGGTCTCGTCAAACATTTCTTTATAAGGTGATATTTCTGCAAAATGTTAAATGATCATGTAATGTATTTGTACATATTATAACAATAAAATGCCTTAATAATATTAATTAGTTATGTTAAATATTAGAATTGGGAACACAAAATTAAAAACCAGGACTGCTAACCTTTAATGCAAATGAATTAGCCAAGATTTAAAATAAATATTTAACGATTAAATGATCTACCAATAATAAATAAAATAACATTATCAACTTTTTATAAGTTAAAAAACAATTTTAAATGTATTATATGATAGTACCATTTAAAAATGAACAGTTAAAATGCATAATTGATTAGATTTCACAAATTTTTTGCTTGAATACATCACAAATATTTCATAAAAATACACTCTCAACTATGACCACACACGAGCCACTATTGTTCATTTATTGAGAACACTGAAAGAGGATGATGGTCTAGGGAATGCGTCAAGAATTAAATGATATAATAATACAGTATGGAATTTTAACCTTCATTGGTTCACACTGACACCCAACAAAAACATGTATCCTTGGATCAATATGCGTAGCATTGATTAAGGAGAAAATGATAAATGCATCAATTCAATATAGTTATTCCAACACCTAAACTTCGACAATACTAAGCAAACAATTGTACTATTTCTGAAATCTGAAATTAAAAATGAAGTACATTTACCAGTATCAGTTGGAAAAGCCAATAAAACCATGCATTGTTGTACTTCATCCATACGAGTATCTTCAAATGTTGATATATACTTTCTGGCATGTCTAAAATGTGATTACAAAAATTCATATAAAATGAAAAAGATGATTAATAATTAAATACCATAATAAAACTAAAACAGTAATTAATATCTAAAAATCAAAAATTAAGCTTTTAATATGTGTAGCCAAAAATAATCACTGTATGTTTCGACAGCGCCAGAGTTCCTTCATTTGATTTAAAATGAAAAATGTATCTTCATTTTATAAACATTGCTTTACAATGTGGCTCACCTCAAATTAACATAATAAAGTTGCGGCTCCTAAAGTTAAGGTTAGTGACCACCCTTGATCTTTCTGATACAACAGTTATGATATAATAGTATTGTGATTACTAATTCTTCTGATATAAGCCAATGAGAAATGAGTATTTACATTTTATTAGTGTACAAGCAGATTTTATAAAATATGAACAGTAGTAATGGGCGTTCTCAAAATAAAAAATTATAATAGTATTCTTTAAATGGTACATTATTAAAAATGTGTTATTAGGTTAAAATAAAACTATAGTTGATTCTTTGGAAATGATGGAAAAAACTGATTACATAAAAAATGTGTAGATCTTCCTACAAAAATTTAAAATCATAAATATTTGACTCCTAGTTATAAGTAAACAAATACTGTGATATAATTATCGAGCACCAATAAGCCATTTGTTACTTTCATAAATTCTATTTTATTTATTTGATTAAAAACCTTGAAATGAGAACTAATTATCAAAATTGTAAACATTAAAACTAACCGAACAGCATCAAGACGTTTGTCTTGGCGTACAAGTTCTATAAATTCTTGAATTCGTAAATTGAATTCCATAGTTGAACGTAATTTACGTAATTTTGACCTATTATCATGACACCATGCTAAACATTTTGATGTTTCGTGATTTGCCAATGAATGTTCAACTTCCTTTGATATCATGAATAAATCTAAAAATATTCAATTAAAGAAATTGGTAACTATCTCAATAAATTAATTGAGTATATTATACCTATATTAGTAAGATCATTTAGATCTGAATTATTGGCGAGTTTATTGGCAGAGTTATAATATCCACAGCGTAAAAAGTATTCCACTAACATACGATCCAACCTACGGCGACGCCAATTTTTTACAATAGCTTCACAAGGTGAGTTATGTTCTTTTAAATGTTCCAAACGTTTTTTGCATACTAAACCAGCTTGCAGTTCATCATTTATACCTTCATCAGCCTAACAAAAGTATATTAATTAAAATTTAAATGGAAAAACATATAATATTCAATGTAATCAGACCTTTCTTTTGAGCACTTTCAGTTTTTCAACCATGCC